CAGCACAATTCCGGAACATTTCCACCACAATGCGAAAACTGTGCTGGAACTATTAAGGAATTGCAAGATCAGTACGAACCCAGCTTAAGGCACACTTCTTTTCTCCTGTGCAATTAGTTAGAATACTGAGCTTCTAGAGTTTTGAGCAAGCAACTCTCGAATGAATGGTCAGAGTAGGTCAGGTGGTCTTGGTAACGCACTGCGCACAACCCATTTTCTGAGCGAAAACACCCGAGATGAACCTCACATTTCCAGAACTTCAATATTTCAACTATACTCCACTAGTTCTCTTGAAAAAAAAACAACTTACTGAGCAGATCATAGAACTTTCCGGGCCTTAGAATTCAGAACAAGTGGCTCAAAAACGCGTTTAACGGTAAGGTTGACACTCGCTTATCGGGATCAGTGCTTGAGCAAAGTTCTCTCACACGCCACTTGCAGCATTTATCGAAAAGCTCAGCGAAACTTAGTTGGAAAAGCGCTTGAAGTTGATTAACACGTTGAGCAAAAGAAAACGCAGTAAAATTTCTCTTTCTGAAAGACGACAGCTCGGCGTGGCAAATTTGCAAAAAGTGTAAGATAACAGTTACAGTAGCGCTTGAATAAAGGAGGTGGCATAGACGTGAAAACCTCCAGTACACATATTTCAAGTTTTTAGAGTTTTCTCACTCCAAAATCAGTGTGGAGAGTTCCAATGATTTTGCGTTACTGCATACAAAATTGCGGTATTTTCAGGACACTTCATTCACAAATTGGCAAACCACAGAAATCATACTGCAACTTTATAGCCAGGGTCAAGGGTGGGATGTGGCATGCCACACTTGGGTGTTGTATTGAGAAATCAGGGAGGGGGAAGGGGTCGTTATCAAGGCGTCCGCTGTTCGCATAGCATGATATTCGTTAACAATGCTAAATAGGCACATTATGCAAAATACTAGCACATTGATGTTTAACCCATTATCGTATACGTACAGTAACCATAATCAAAGATCTATGCAGCATAAGAGCATCGTTTTGTAATTAGCAAGTAAAATAACCCCTGTGGTCCAAATTTCAGCGAATTCTTTCCAAATACAGGGCTACCTAAGTGAGATGGTCGTTTTCAAGCATGTTACCTTATTTCGAAGGTAATTAACTACTACGATTTGCGCTTAATACAAAGAACTACTACTTCCTTGCTCACATTAGGAATCCTACTTCAAACTCCAAATTAAAGAATTAAGAGCAAGCCGAAATCACGTTTGTTCCATATTTCGTTTTCAACATCTCAGGCTAAAGAAGACCAATCAGGCTCAAATCACTTTGATGTAGAATACGAGGCTTAGGCTATCGAATATATACATTCTTATTGCCTCCCCTTGCGATTCACGTAGTAGCGCAGACTTAGCATGTTACCGTATCCCAACATTTTCGCAGTATTTTACCAGTGTTTTACATTTGCATAGGTAAGGAAAAACGATTATATCTTCTCTTGAAGAAACGTTTTCATATGAAATTTCTGCTATGCAAAGAAAAACTTAAGCAGTAACAACGATATAAAAAACGCAGCTGTTTGATCTGTTTGAAGGTAAGTTAATAGAATGTGGCACCACCCCTAAAAGCTGTGGCAGCCACAGCTTTTTAGGGGTGGTGCCACATCCCATTAACTATATCAAAAAAACATTTTTAGCGAACTTTATCTATACGAATCGATAGACCTCGTAGAATAGGAGTGATTTGAGCCTGATTCATCTTCTTAGCTCTGAGTGATATTTGTTGGAAGCACAGCCATCAAAGGCGAAAAATAGGAAAAACAAGATTTTGGTTGGCTTCTAATTCCAAAGTTGAGAAGTCTTTCGAAACGAGATCTCTGAAGTGGCCAAAGAAGGAGTAGCGCTTTGTCTTGAGTGCAAAAACAGCTAGCAGCTACACCTTTGAAACAAAGTTGATCATGATGGAAAATGGCGATTTCACTTAGGTGACCCAGTATCTTGAAACTTCAGAATTCGCTCAATTGTCTACAAGGGATAATTGACATGCTAATTATGGATATGCAGCCCGTTATGTTGACAGGGCCTTCAAGTAATGCTATTTTAAGTATATGGTTCAGGGGGTCTTATTGAGAAAGCAAAAAGAGGTTGGGGGTCGTAACCAGCGATCGTGTGCCACACCTCTTGCTTGACCCTGTTTATAGCTTAGGTGGTAGTTGCAGGATTTCCTATACACTGAAAATGTACACGCCCCTGGTGAATTTTTTTGGCTAATTCAAATTTTTTAAAAAGTTTTAAGAATTATTTTACAGTTATAAACAAGTCACTTGTAATTTTATAACTCATGTAGATCTTTTCGCCTGTTTCCTCGGTCCGCCACTGCTATGGCCAGCGCCGTACAAGCCATTTTATGGCGATATGTCAGAAATGATCAACGATCAAAGGAGGCACCGGAACTGATCAATGATCAAACCTGAAGGGCCAAATTCGTTCAATCTACGCAAGAAATGCACTTATTACTTTTTCAGTTTCGATTTATTCCAAGTTTAAACACCTAAAAGCCCAGTTAAAATATATTATAGAGCGCAAAGATCCCTTGGACAAGTGCAAGTGGCGGCACTTGAGAGAGACGATCGGTGAGCGCACAGAGGTCCAATGGCTTCGCGCAGGTGATTCCGCTAGCCCATTTATTGCTTTTCGACAAAGCTGACGATTTATGGCAAAATGAAGTCCAGATCCGTGTAGGCGGGCAAGTCTCAGATCTCTAGAAAGACTGAAAGGAACTCTCCGCAGTCTTTGTTTAGGCACCGGCAACTACCAACTCTTACAAATTCCATGAATTTTTGCATCATTTCTTTCCGTGATAATCTCTATAGTAGCTATAGTTTACACAAATTTTGGAAAGTTGTAAAACTGAAAATAGACCGAAAATAACAAAAACAAAAAAATCTTGATAGCCCTTCAATAGCTGTCGATAGATAATTAGCAAGGACTGTGTTTAAGTTAGTGCAAGATACTGACATCCTATGGGTTCTTGATGCTGAAGTTGATTCGAAAGCACGTAACAAACGCAATATGTCCCTTCCAAAGCCTTGTAGTATATCGTCGATTCGTTGACCGCACAGACTGCTCAAACCCTCCGGACCACACGCGGCGCAGCTGAATTGTTGCGAGAGCACGACTTGTACAATGGTGAGTTTGTATTGGGGCAAGGTTCTACTCGCGGGCATGATCGCGGTGATGTCAGTCTGTGCGATCATCGAATCAACTATACAATAACTGGTTTGGAGGAAGCTTGCATTGCTAGCTGAATTTGCCACTTTTCGTTCATCATTTTCTCAATGTCTGAGAAATTGGGAGGGAGAAACTCGCAGCAACTGCATATACAGTCGGTATCATCCCGGATTAGGCGGAACATCCCATAAGGAGGGACGCGTACGCAGAGGAGGGACGCGTACGCACCACCGGAAGTCTCGCGAGCGCATCGCGCTGGCATTTTGCCATGCAGGGACTGAGGAGAAGGAAGAGACGCAGACCTCGGTTCTCAGCACGATATGATGTACTGTAGCTGCGAAACGGCGCGAGCTGTTGCGAGGCGGACGCCCGCCAATCCAATTTCCGCCTAATGCGGGTCGAAACTTACTGTATAAATATTACCATGTGTCTACATGATGATCTACTGGGAGGCTCGTGGAAATTTTACCGGGAGATAGTCGATACGTAGAGCCTTGCTTCATTCTGGCATGCTCCAATACAAATCTCTAATATATCTATAAATATCTATAATATTTAAATATATATAATTATCATTATATCGAGTCCCCAACCCCTGAAATCTGGAGAAAGGGGGCGTGGCGTCAACCACGCCCCCGAAAAAACATTTTTACAAGGCTAATTTGAATTTTTGAAAATTTTTAAAAATTATTCTAATTATTTACAAGTATAAACAAGTCACTTGCACATTTTTATAACCCATATAAGTAACTTTCAAAACCAACCTAGCTGTTTCATGGGGAACTAATTTATTATCGATCAAAGATGAATTGAGGAGAACCTGATTGGTAGAAACTTGCAAAGACACAAAATTCGTCTTGGGGTTTTTTAAAAGCAACGTCGAGGCAAATCTGGACTTGTGGGGACTATTTGGGGTCCTAACTAAAGAACGGTCCAAGCGGCAGCGCAAATGACTCACTAACGACTGAGATATGCGCCTCCAAACTAAAGCCCAGGATCGCATTATCGGACGACTTGCATCGTGTTTTCATGCTTTCGCGCGAGGACCCATGCGGAACTGAGTGCCGCACCATGAATCCATGCGAAGTACGATCCTGGGGTCCAGTTTGGAGGCGAATCAGCAGTTAGAACACCATCTGAGCTGTCGGTTGGGCAGGGTCTTATTAGGTCCCAAAACTAATGTCCACGTGAGATCCCCATATATCCAGATTTGCCTGGACGCTGCCTTTAAACACCTCATCTACCTCCCCTGAGCAGCATTTACATCTTAACACGCCGTGGTTTCGTCCCATTGCTTGGAGCGTTCATTGCGTGATAGATACTGTAGTTGGGCGCCACATTGGCGCTTCCGATGTTGTGCATGTTGTTTGTGCTTACCGTAACGTCAAGGCCATATGGCACTGTGAAAGAGAATTCATGCCAGTTTTTGTACGACAGACCCTGTGGTCGAAAAAAACCATGGGGAAGAGTCAGGGAGACCACGCGCTCTAAACGAGACGCTTTATTTCGCTGCTTGTTGTCGATCTACGAGCAATCACTGTATTGCTTTTTTTCCACCATCATTGATATTTCCTTTTGCGATTGAGACGACAAGGCAACCAGTAGTGTGATCGGCGTTGACTGATCTGTAGCGTGACCGCTTGGTGACACTCTCGTTGAACGCTCCATCTCATTAATGGACAAAGATGAAGTAGGTTTCATAATCAACTTGTAAGTGCGCTATTCTGTTCAGACTATGCAGTGGGTATCATACATTTCCAGAATTTTTCTAGTCTTCTTTGTGACAATGACGTGCATGTAATCTTCAATGACTTCTCAGCTATATTAAAAAAGCACCTATAAATACATTAAAACAAACAGTGCCACTTGATTTTGAAATCTTTTTTTTTCGAACTAGTTGACATATTGCGTGCTAAGCAGGTTTCGACTGATTGTGAGCAAAATAAGGTTCGTACTTCCTCTCCGTTTCAAATCCCTTCGAGCAGAGATAAACAAGCACCTCGACCGGAAATTAATGCAAAATTTCTTCCTTTTCCAGCGGCTAAGTTCATGGCAATTTCCTTAACAAGCGCTGAGACGATGGACGCTTTTTACAAGATTTTTCCTTACCTCGTCTAACTTTCGCTGTTTTTAAGAAATTTATTTGGGACTTTTGAAAGGCCTTCAATAGCCGCAGATAAAGCAAATTGCAAATTGATGCAATGTTTTGTAATCTAGCTCGTTTTCTGAAATGTATAATTTCGTCAATATACTGAGGCTCCGAACCTCAGTTATTACCATTACTAAAAATATGAACCAAATGAGCGATCATCGCTCCAAAATATGAAGATTCTGTGATTCAAACAATAGTGCGCACTCTCAAAATTGAGAAATACGGCGATTTGACTAACAGTTTCGCGAATATCGGAGGCTTATGATAAGTGTTAGAAAGTGGAGAAGAGCATACATCAAGTAGCGCCTGAACTGTTCATCATTTCAAATCCTACGAAGTTAAAATAGACCGTATAAAATCTGCTCTATTTGAAAAAAAAAACATTGTGGTGATTCTAAAAAGCAAATCAAAGAATTACGAAAAATTGCATTAATTTGCAAAAGGTTTGCCCTAACAGTCGGTTATGAAAGTACCTTCAAAAAACTTGAAAGATTTCGAAAGTAGGCGAAAATCAGAAGCAAAAATAGAATGTCGTGAGTTGCCTATCTCGTAGCGTCGAAAGAGTCTTAACGGCAAATCCGTTCTGCAACGGACAAGGCGTAAATTATTTGTTTATCTTTATGCTACGAGATTTGCGGGAAAGTCCAGAATAGACCTTTTGTACCGACCTGAAACTCAGCTGAGCAGGAAATCAAAACATTAGTTGTATAGCGAATGCACTATGCTGCTGCATAAGTTCTGTCCGATTTTTTGCCTTGTGTTTGAAGCAGACATTCTAGGAGATTTTCGCTCGTAATGTGATATTGTACCATTAGAAAGACAATAACTTTGAATAGAGGCAATTCATGAGTCTAATGTTGGAGGTGCTAGAGTAAAGCAAGAGCTAGCAGAGTCCAGCTATCAGTTACTTTTCACCTCTCGCGGCAAGTCAAAATTTTCATAATTTTAAAATTGGCATAAATACATGTACAAAAAAGAGGTTGAAAAAGGCTTCGTTTTTATTCACTCGAGGAAAACTCTCGATACCTAAGATCCTATGGGCACTTTTAGGCTGTAGAATAATCAGAAAGAAATAGAAACCTGTCTACCCATGACTATGACCCATGACTTGCGCCTGTCAGTTCTCATCAGCGAGCATTGACACGTCGAAAAAGACAGGGTTGAAAAAAAAACGCATTGAAGTTGAGTTCTTGCTTCTTTCTTAACAAGGTTTTTCGCAAGAACTAGTATTTCTCTCATAGCTTAAGAACTGCTCAATACACAGAAACTAGGATTATGAAAAAGTTGATTTTGAAAGAAGTTATGATATTTTGAGCTCGAAGATTCAAAACTTTTGCAGCAGCCTGAAGATTTGGCCATGATTTCGATTTTTGAGTTGTAGTCCACCAAAGGCTCAACAAAGTGGCTTTGAAAGACATCAGCTTATGATGGATGGCTCAGCCCACAGGCGATTAGTTTTGCGCTCAAACTTTACGCTCAAGCCAAATTTTTGAGAGTATACTGTTGCTTTTCTTTACAAAACATCATACCGCCAGTTTATGAGCTAGCCTAAAAAACAATGTTTGGTTTCTAGGAATCGATATGTGAATGGGAGCTAGCCCCGAGTGACCCAAGTAGTCGCCTCACTGAACTTGTTCTTGTCCATCGAGATGGCTACAAGGCTCATTTGGAGATCCTTAGCTTTCATATACATTACTTAACAATCATCTACAATGACTTCCCCCGTCACGCGATGACGTAGATAAAATAGAAAATGAGATTCGATAAGATAGCTCGTGTTTATCAATCCTTAGATAATATATTAGACGACCAGCTGATTGCCCTTTGTCTGCACTATCCTTCAAATGCCACTATAAAATGGAGAATGCACTGTCATACCGAAGCGACATCGAAAAACGACAGCTCTTTCCAGAAAAAATACGAAAGCATCTCGCTTTTTCTCTTAAATATCATAATGCGGCCAACTCCACTCTAGCGAATGATCCAACAATATTGCAGCAGCACAATGGGTTTTTGCGCAGTTAAAGTCTGCATTCTCATCAAACAAACACGCACACAGATCAGTACTCAAACGGGCGGAGGAAGCATACAACCCTCTCCCCCCTCCCCTACATCATTTCGTCGTTCACGTCCTCGCCCCCGTGTTAGTCGTCGTGCTGCTCCTACTGCTATCAGTGTGGCCCGACGGGGTATCGATTGATCGGCAAACTACAATGTCGATTCGGGTGTTGTATCAATCCATCGTGGTGATAAACTGTCACTTTCAACGTACTCCTTCAACTGACGTCACTCACAAATGTTTTGCAAGCTCTGCCTTCTCTACAGACTTGCCCTAAATACCTTGACCACCTCCACCCTCCACTGCTTCCGCTATCTATAGAAGTCATACCTTCCCGGTCACAAATTTGCCTCATTTTCGAGTCTTCATACTACTTTCGGAACAAAAGGTCCACGTCAATTAGGCGAAGAGTATGATTCTTAAAAATTCTTTTATTTCCTTTGTTGCTATATCTTTTGGTAACTGTTTCACAATGCAAGCTTTTCTAGCAAATTTTTTGTGTATTAACATGTCAGAAGACCCTCAGAGCAAATTAGGCAACCGACTTGTATAATTACTGCAACAATTGATCTAGAAACGTACTCCAAACCATTTTGCATCAGTATCAGGGTAATTCAAAAATGGTGGAACAACTTGATTATTTGAAATTTGAAGGTTTTTTTGTATGTTTTATGTTTCATTTTCGTAAAAGCTGAGCAAGTTGTAAGTGTGCCATACAGGTTTGGTAAGTAGTACTTATTCATGGTTTATTCATCAACCAACGTTTCGACGAATTTTTTCTTATTGAATAATCGCTCTTATAAAGAATGACCTTCCCTATGATCTTGACAGCACCTTGCTGCTTCTCTCTCGCTATCCTTCAAAGCGCATCGGAGAAGCTGGAACAGGCATTTTGAACATGCAAATCGCTGTTGCTTGACCGAAAAGCTCTTGAGCATGTGACACCATTCGGGAGGCCTTTCAAGCTCTTTTAGGGATTTGTTGAATTGCAAAATATATCGTTCGTGCAAAAAAAACGCAGATGTTTTCGAAAAAGTGTTACCTTTCGCGCAAAAATTCAGCCAAAAGACATTGCCGTCCATAATTTTAGAAATGAGGAGAATTTGAAATGAAATGCATATGTAGATAAGCCTAAAAAGAGTATGTGTATATATACTTTCTGTCAAAAATGAGCTCATTCGAGTATCTTGATGAAATCAGAAATACTTTGATTACAGAGCTTTGAAACTGCGCAAATGCGCACTTCCACCGATATATGAAAAATCTCACTGAGACATTTGTTGCAAAATATTGCAGTGATAATATGCGCATTAAGTAAATGTAAGACAATAAAAGAAAAAACTTTGTTTTATTAGCATAATTTTGAGTTCTTAAGGCATGGCGCTATTGGTTGCAGCATCCGTGCACTGGCCAACTACATTTGAGGATTTTGACCTAATGTGTGACTTTAGGCACTGGCACATGATCTAAAGATCATTTATGAAAGAAGAACTTGGTAAAAACCGTCCTGTTGAAGCAAATGTGTAAAATTCGCATCTGCTCAAACTTATGCTCGAGCCTCAAGCTCAAAAAGCAAAAAATTGAACGAAAGTTTTTGGAAAAAGGCAACTTTTGAGTACACATTGCTATGTGTTAACAATTTTCGAAGCCTCAGTGCAACTAGCCAGACCGTGTCTCGGAACACCGAGTGTGCAATACGCACCTTAACACGTTGACGACCGAGCCATTTTTGACCACCTCAAAATGGACTGATGATCTACGCCTGCGGTTTGGACTGCTTGACACCTACTGCAATGCCGTGTGTTCTATATGACAACCAGGCCACCAGTGTTATCACTGCATAGAAGTTACCTGAGGACTTTTCGTTTACACATGATAAATTGATGCACGAAAGTGCTAAAAGGTGGTCTGGGTGTGCATACGCGCGGATGCACACGGTCGTCAACGTGTTAAGTTAGAAAAGAAATAAAAAATGTAAGCACCACAAGTAACATATTTGTAAGACTCTCTGAGCTGCACCAAGCACAGCAATGGCCTATGATTGTTTGTTTGTGGATCTATCAGTTCGAAAGCTTCATTTCTACTATAGATCAGAGTGATTTAGAGAAAGGGGCTGAGACGCCTCAAATGAGCAAATAACATCATTCCACGAGAAACTAAAGTTCTCAAGACTATTTGTTCAGCTCTATCTTCTTCGATCAAACAAAGTTGATTTTTATCGATTGCTGTGAGCAGCGTGTGCTACATGCGCATCGTAGTGATGTTTCTGATATCTTTCCCTTCTCGAACAATGTCCACTTCACCCGCAAAATGATGCGTGATACATCAATGCCGTGTCTCGTCTGTCGGTTGCTATATCAAAATACCGTAAACGGCGAGTTGAGTTGACGCAACTCAAGAGCTGTATCATCAACATTTCGATCCATGAATGTCGTCCTGTACTCTTGCCCTCTTATTCGTGGTATCTAAGTTCCAACAATGTGATTGGCTCCATTAAAATTTTCGCACTTCTCTGAGGATCGGAAGTAGATATGCGGCATTAAGGCGTCAACATTTATACATGAAATTTCTCAGAAACAAAGTTTTGCATGATTTGGTCTTTGCCGCACTGTTTATATTGCTGAGCAAATAACTATAGCATAATAGTCAGAGAACTTATCGCATAGCTCTATCAGATCGCCATCAACGGCACCCAAAGATAGCATCCTAACAATCATTCCTGAGAAGAGAATAGGCATCCTTGAATAGCCTCATGCCTCCATGGCTATTAATATTTGTACATTTCGGTTTTTTTATTGCCGCTATAACCTACGTCTTGTATAACCCGGCTGGAGCTCTTCGAAAAAAAAAACTTTTCAAAGTGCTTCGAATCGTAAATAATCCATTGGGACTGACAAGGAAAGGATTTCTTATACGAAGTGTACGTCTTGTAGAGCATGGAAGGCTAATTCCAAATCTGCTTTCGGTATCTGCAAAGCACTTTTGGGATGGGAGT